CTTACACCCACTAGCATGTCTAATGGTGTAATTTATAGTGGCCAATTGCCTCTAGTTAAGAAGTCCACATTTGTATTTCTCATCACATACCAATCACCAGAAATGGCATAAAATGAGAAATGCAGACTCCAACTTATTTACCGGCAATAATTAGCTGCTGAAATTTATACCATTAGGCTTTTGTCAGCATAAGTAAATAACAGGATTCTGAATAATGACAAAGATATTAATAAAAAATTAAACAGAATGAAATAAACAAAATTGTATGTTGTAAAAATAATAAATAATAAAGTAACAAAATAGTAGATAATGATCAATAATCAAGAGTATGCAAAATAAATAATATAAAACTAAATTTTGTAGGACCATTTGATGAATTCATGGCTCAGGCAAGAAGTAATCCAGCAAACCCTCTAAATCACAGCTCAGCGTCTTGGCTGCTACTCTCGGCCAACTCATCAGAGCCAATTATTTTGTGATCAGCTAATTCAATGAGGCATTGCTTTCTCCCATCACCAAACCAGCAGAGTTTCATGCCACTAGGCAGAAGGGCTATGTCACAGCAGATGCTCATGCTGTCTAGTGCCATAGCAGCACTAGCCAAATGGTTGCCAGGTGTGCCACAAGCCACATCCCAAGATCCAGCAGTGCCCCTTTCCTATGGAAGCCTGCTGTGCCTTTTGTGTGATTTTGCTTCCTGCCTAGTGAACCACAGAGAAGGCAACAGCATGGGAGAGGCAGGCAGGAGTACAGACCTAAGTCTTCCAAGTCTTTTTGCCCAATAGTGCATAAATCCCTGCAGCTTCTGCTATTTATAGTAGTCATGCTGCAGGATAAATGCTCATTATCTCTGTTCATAATGTAAGGCCAAGCAACTGTGTTACAATGTGGGGTAGAAAGCAGGAACAGCATGCAAGTGAGACAAGCTGCTTTGTTGCCGGTTATTTTCTGTTGTGTGAAACCAGCTTTCGTGCTTTCATTTAATAACTATTTGGCATCTCTTCCAAAGTGCCTGAGCTGAAGAGCTCTAAAAAGAAAAAGAAAAGAAAACACCCCTAGGGCTGGTACTCAGCTATCCCACAATATCATACTGAAACGACTGGATAATTCAGACGCTTTCTCTCCTATTTGTTTTCTGCCATTGCCACTTAGAGCCATTCTGATTGTGAAATATTGAAGAGGAGGCGATCAATTTGTTTGCAGCGGGCCTTGTTTTTGTTTCACCTCTAAGAGAAATAGAGACAAAAGAAAAGGTTCAGAAGCCCTTTTGAAGCCAGCAGAGAAGGGCCCGGAGTCTCCAAAGTGCTCCTCAATTGCAAGGCTTCAGTTTTCTATTTTATTTCCTCCAGACTGAGATGTGCCTCTTGGGCCATTAAAATTTCATGACACTTACACCAGTTCGCTTGCTTGTTTAATTTCCAAACATCTGATACTTAAACAAGTCTAAAGAAAGAATCAATTTGATTGAGAGTGCTCGTTTCAGTCGGGTCACGTTCAGGACATGACATAAGCCAACACAGAGATGACCTACTTTTGTAAGGTCTTCAGCAGAGTTTACAAAGTTACTTTTTTTTTTTTTTTACTTGCTGGCGAGATTCTGGGAGTCATCATCTTTTTCCAATCCATGCAACCAGTTCTTCTGTTTCTTGACATTCTGTATGTTGATATTTGCCTGGATCATCTCCCTGTTTCAGACATGGGAGGAATCAAAACCAACAGATTCATACGTTTGGGCTCTTAGAAGTGAGCTTTTTAATTCTTAGATGTTCAGCCTACTTTGCAGGATTAAATCTAGATTCTCTCTTTTATTTTTAGCTTCTCATCTTTAGCACCTGTATGGCAGGCAGATATAACATGTTCTCCATCCATGGAATGATTTTGAATAATGTACCAACATTAAATTCTTCATGGAAAGATCTTGAGGTTTGAAAAATCTAATTGCAGTAGAAACCAAAACCAACGAGAGTTTTCCAACTTGCTTTGATCCTCAAGGTATTTTTGGTTTCACACACCTAATTTAAATTTGAACTTTTTTCATTATATTTAAAATGGAAACCATACTTAGCAGCAAGTTGGTAGTAAAGACTGCTAGGTACCAATGGCATGTTTTCATATCATTTGGAATGATTGCTTTGACACTAGACATTTCTGTCTGGTAATCTTCACATTTGCCTCTTGTAAAGACACATGTGTGGCTGACCCAACTTTCTTTTATGAAGAGTTAGGATTATGCAGCTCTTCAACAGGTAAGACCAATTATATTAATCAAGAATTCACATAGCACTAGTGAGACTAGAAAACCTAGAGGTTTACCGAACTCTGTCTTATCCTATTGCTATGAATTATGTCAACCAAGATTTGTCCAACGCCTGTAATATTGTATTTATCTTCAATACCATCATTCCATAACAAACAAACAAAATTCCAAAAAGCAACTGAGTGAGCCCATAGGGGAATGTGCCATCCAGCAAGAAGTGTAACACAGGCATCATTGTTAATATACACTGTCTTGATTATTATTATTATTAATTAAAGATAATTATAGCAGTTCTATATTTGAGATGCTGTAGAGTGCAAAGAGAACGGCAGAATTACAAACAATAGGCTTGTTCCTGTCATATCTCTGTGGAACATTTTTAAATTAAGAAAGCTCCAAGGTGAGTAGAAGGGTGACATCTCAGGCTCTCTCTAAAATACAGCAAAGTCCTGCCAGGTTTATCCATATGGAATGCTGTTGCTGACAGCATGCTGGAGGGCATTGGCAGCATCTTCTGCCTTGGTTGGTGATAGATGCTGGTAGCATTACTGATGGATGCCAGCAGTACCAATGATGGATGAGAGAGGTGAAAGAGAGAGATGCTAATGGCTAATATTGATAGATGTTGGAGATCCATGCTGCTAGCACTGGGGGGGAGGGGATATTCTATGGTACTAGAAAGTACTGATATCGATGTGATAGATGGTCAGAGGTTTATAACATTCCTGATGAATGACCATCAGTGGTGACAGCATTAATAAGAACCAATGGCTGTGTTGCTAATAATTGATGAGTAAGAACATTACAGTTGGGTGGCAGAAATGCTGTCAATGAATAAAATGGTACTATTGCCCATGAAGATTAATAGAACTAGTGGCAGATTTGAGGAGAGCTGTTCAAGATAGTCGGCAGCATTTGACCAAGATTAAAGGAGAGATTGCTGATGAAGTACAGCATGATTAGAAATGGATACTGGATTATTATTTAAGAAAGCTTGCCTGTTTAAATGAGTAAAGCTAAAGGTAAAGGTTCCCCTTGAAAATTAAGTCCAGTCGTGTCCAACTCTAGGGGCCGCTGCTCATCCACGTTAGTAAGCCGAAGAGCTGGCATTTGTCCAAAGACACTTTCCATAGTCACATAGCCAGCGCGACTAGAGACGGAACACTGTTACCTTCTCATGGAGGTGGTACCTATTCATCTACTTGTATTTGCATGCTTTTGAACTGCTAGGTTGGTAAGAGCTGGGACAAGCGGTGGGAGCTCACCCTGTCGTGCAGCTTCAAACTACTGACTTTGATCAACAGCCTGGTGGCTCAGCAGTTTAACCCACAGTGCCACCCACATTCTTTTGTTTAGATGAATAGAGCACTTCTAGTTCATGTGTATCTGGCATCAATGTCAAGGATGCATATTCTACCATTTCTATAAAATATGTGCTGTAATTTTAAAGTAGTTGTACTTCCGAAATGAGACATCATTAAGACAATTTCAAATATTACAGTGTTTTACACAGAAGTAATTTCTATGTAGGAAAATGCTTATTTCCTTGCACAGAAGTACGGTAATTTCTATGTAGGAAAATGCTTATTTCAGTAGTGTATGAAGCCTGGTACTAGAGTCTGTCTGTCTGTCTGTCTATTTGTCTGTCTGTCTGTCTGTCTGTCTGTCTGTCTGTAAGTAGTACAAGTAGCTACATATGTATCTATTGGCATTTATGTACCACTTACTATAATAAAATCTCTAAGCACCTTCCCAAACACCATGTATGGGTGTGAAAGCTGGACAGTGAGGAAAGCTGGCAAGAAAAAAATTGATGTGTTTGTAATGTGGTGCTGGGAGGAAAACTTGCAAGAAGAAAATTGATGTGTTTGTAATGTGGTGCTGGAGAAGAGCTTTGTGGATACTGTGGACTGCTAGAAAGACAAACAAGTGGGTCCTAGAGCAAATCAAGCCTGAAGTATCTCTGGAAGCAAAAATGATGAAACTCAGGCTGTCTTACTTTGGACACATCATGACAAAGCAAGATTCTCTGAAAAAAGGAAAATGCTGGAAAAGATGGAAGGCAACAGGAAAGACATAATGTTGGAAGTGGCCACTGGGAGGAGCCATATAGGTTTACTCTGTAATGACCATATTGATATGTTGCTTCTGTGTAAATGCAAGGATCAGGTGCTCCAAATGACTTGCATTGGGCAAACCAGCAGTGCCAACAGCCTGTTGGAGCCCTTTCACAGCCTGCTTTTTAGAAGAAACTTTCCAAGATCCACTATTGTGGTTATCAGCCAACTTGAATTCCTTATTTTAAGGTGATGTGTAAATATTTCAAAATAAATAAAAATAATTACACCCTTCGGCAATACAGTGGGGTCTTGACTTGAAAACTTAATCCGTATTGGAAGGCGGTTCTCAAGTCAAAAAGTTTGCAGGTCAAATCTGCATTTCCCATAGGAATGCACTGCCTCCCACGTGGTTTTTTTTCAGTTTGTAACTCAAATCTAAGTATGTAAGTCAAGTCAATATTTTCCTATGAGAGTGGTTCTTAAGTCAAAATGTTCTTAACTCGAGCCGTTCTTAAGTCAAGACCCCACTGTATGTGCAAACTAGCAGAGATGTTCTGAACTCTCTGGAGGTGTGCCTATTGAACTGCAATGCTGTATCATCACATAAAATGCACAAATACAATATATAAAAGAAGGAGAGCATGTAAATTATAAAACTTTTTTTTTTCACCTTGAAATCCTAGATATTCATGAAGACCAATCCTGGAATTCAGCGAGTGGACAAGAGGACTCAGCGTTGAACACAACCTGTGCCTAAAAAGGGAGCTGTGAGAGGTACAGTATGGCCCAGGTCTGTATGTTAGCTATTCTTTCTAAAACTGCAAAGTTATGAGAAGCAATGGGTTGGTGTTCAGCGCCAGAGCACATGTTTTGCATGCAGAATTTCCGGGTTCAATTACTGGCAACTTTATTTAAAAGGACTAAGAAGTATGTGGTGGACTACATGATCAGTGCTTGGAAAAGTTACATTTTTCAATTATAGCTCCTACAATATCTCAGCCAACATGGCCACTACTAGTCAAGCTGGCTGGGGAATTCTTGGAGTTGTCCAAATATGTAATTGTTCCAAGCTTTGTCCTGGGTAGTATGATAGCTTCCTAAATTCAGTTCGTGTGTGCAGGGTGGCAACATTTTGTATTCACAACAGAAGGAAAACACTAGGAAGGTTCTAAAAAGGAAACCACATGAAAATAGGTCTGAAGTTGATATTCAAAGATAGCAAACCTTCCTGTAACTTGAAATTCAAATTGCAAGGAGAAATGTGAGGCAGGAGATACAAAAAAAATCTATATAGCAATATCTTGTCTGTTGCTGACCTAGTTTGTGACAAAGGAAATGTCCCAAAGTATCTGAATATGTGGCAGGCAGAAGACAGACTTTCACAAAGGTCTCAAAGCAAAAAACTTTGCTTTCTTATGATTCAGTTTGATCTGCAAGGGAAAATACCTTACAGGTTTTATCATCTCATACTTCAACTTTAATGAGGCCTGTGATGAGAATGTGTAAGAGGAGACTTCATAGAGCAGGGATCTGTCAGTAATCTTTGAGAAAGTAACAACCTGTCTCATTTTACACTAATACAATTGGTTTTTTATTTGGGTTTGCAGGGGTGCTAATTATTTGACATCACTATTCTGGCCTTCCTCTTTTTTAAAAAAAATGGATTTATTGTATTTTAACTGATCACTTCATAAAATGTTTACAGATATTCTAATAAAGCATGAACAGGGCAAGGAGACAGTCAATGAAGAAGCCCTAAGACAAATTAATAAAGACCAAGAAACAATAAAAATGTATAAAATGCATGTAGAATTGATTACTTCACTAGTCCCGTTAGTTACTTGATTAATTGATTTGCTTATACATTCTTAATTGTCTCCAAAATGCAACTAATAAATTAAAATAGTGCCATGCCTTGAAAGGGGAATATTTACCTATCTTGAAACATCTGACTGCTGAAGTTTGGATCCATGCACTACCAGCTGCAATACTGTAACTATAAATGCAGTCACAAGGGTGTATAGCCCACATTTTGAGCCTCTTGTGGGCCAGATTGGTGCCAGGCGTTTCCCAGCAATCACATGATGTGCACACAATAGCCTTCCAACTGAACCCTGATTTATCTCCAAGCTGGACTTTTTTGGTCCAACAGCAGGGCTCCTCTTTTGAGCTCAATCAACTCCCTGATGGATGGAAGGGTTGCTTTATGGGAGATTGTTCCCAGTAAAGCCACCCTTTTTAACACAATCAAATGGGATTCTTTCTCACCATGTGATCATGCTCTTTCTCTCTATATAGAGGGCAAGTGAAGAAGAGCTATAATCAGAGCAAGGAAAACCAATTTGGGGTGGGAAAATAGAGAGAGGCCCTTAAAAGAACATCCCCTAAGATGGTGATTCTTCTTGATAGATCAGTAGACTCTTTGAAAAAGCCCCAGGGCAGAGGTTGGAGAAGCTTACTTGCTTAGATCAGAGGTCCCCAATCCCAGGTCCATGGCCCGGTGCCGGTCCGTGACCTGAGCCAAGCTGTGAAGAGAGACCTCACCCCCACCCCCACATGCAGTCCCCCCACACAGCCCGTTTGCACCTGCATGTGAGTGAGTGTGCGCCTGCACGAGTGCTGCACCACCCTTTGCGCATCCTCACAAGTGCCCGTGCGAGAGAGTGCATGCCCCTTCGCGCATGCACACAAGCACAGGGGGGTGCCCCACCTTCCCCAGCTGGTCCACGGGGCTAAAAAGGTTGGGGACCACTGGCTTAGATGACAATTCCAAGAATTTCCCAGCCAGAATGGCAGATGGCTATCCTGACTGGGAGATTCTGAGAGTTACCCTCAAAAAAAGTAACTTTTCTGAACTCTGTCCCCAGGGCGGATGAAATTAAGAGGAAAAACTGTGCCCACTTCTTGTGCTCAGAGTTTATCAACCTTTCCATACTGGGATCCTTCCTGTTTCCAGACTGGTTGTCACTTGCTAACTTCCCTAAATAATATTCTTCATTAGAATAGGCTGGTCTCAAAATTCAAAATTACATTTGGAAAATGTATGCCCATTTCACCCTAGATGATAGTTTCATGAAAAGAACTGTTTAGCCAATTCTCAACCAGCATTTCTATTCCCCTGTTTATGAGAGCTTGCCCAGGCTTAGATGGAAAGCATGAGTGTTCCATGCAATTTTCTTTGCATACTTTGCCATAATGCCATCTTTTAGCTTCACATTTCCATGTTTTTCAGTGTGTGTATATGTGTCTGTATTCTGGCTTGACCTACTTTGCATGTTAGCATTCTCTTTACTGAGCAGATGACATCTCTTGGATAAGTTTGGCAGAGGTGGAGACAGTGGAGGGGGAGTAAATTTCTATTTAGGGCCAATCAAATAGATAGTGCGGCTTCTGCCATTTCTGGTGGTTTTTGTTCCGGTAAGATTTTATTTTATTCCCGGGGACATTTGCATGAAAATAGCTTCCCTCTTTTTATGAAGAGTTCATTTGCTTTTGCAGCTTACTCAACACCTGAAGTCAAAAGCCTCTGTCACATTGCAACCACTTCTTTTCCCCTAGCTGAGGTGACACAAAAGGGCTTGATGGCATGTGTCAAGAGATAAGCAATTGCATTCAGGCACAGAAACAAATTAAGCAATCTGTAGACTTATTTTTCTTTCTTTCTTTTTTTGAAATCTCAGAAAATTTAACCAAGAAACTGGATTGAAAAGCAGTTGCTGTGCTTCAGTTAGGGTGTGACAGGTTGTCTCAGGCTGGATTGTGTTAAAACATACTTGGTTCAAGGTATGGTATACTATTTAGTGTGATCCTTGCATTCACATGGAAGCTCCCCTATTTAGTCTGTTACTCCATCTTTGCCTCCGTTCCTTCTCCTGTCTCCCCCTCTATTGCAGAGTGGGCAATTTAAAAAAAAATATTGGTAAGTGACATAGCACTGAATTGGCTTGAGTTCCTTCTCCTATCTCCCCCTCTATTGCAGAGTGGGTAATTTTAAAAAAATTATTGGTAAGTGGCATAGCACTAAATTGGCTAAAAAAAATAAAATAAAAATTAAAATAGTCGGTGTGTAATTCCCCTCCCCACAGTGACATAGCGCTGGGTTCCAAGGGAAAAAAAATTAAAATAGTCGGTGTGTAATTCCCCTCAGTGTTCTTTCCTTTCTCCCACTCCACAGAAATTTATATATTAGGAAATGGTATTGTACTTTGATGTATTTGGAAGTTGCATAGCACTGAATTTGTACGCCACCCAAGTGACATAAAACATCTTGTAGTCCTGCTTTAGTATGATACCATCAATTAAACCTTTTAGAAATGGAACTCAAACAGAGCAATCCTATTGGAACTGAAAAAACAGTAGGTCCTGCCAGTGATTAGGTGTGAATAGTCATGGAAAAGGCCAGAGTGGTTCATGATTGCCTGTGTATCATGTAGCCACCATGAAATGCCAAAAGTGGTCCAAAAGGTGAGATGAATCTGATTGCATCCGTAGATTGAACTTCACAATGCCAAAAGTGGTCGAAAAGGTGAGATGAATCTGATTGCATCCGTGCTGTACAAGACTGGGATATGATCTAGCCATGAGCTGCTTCCCACTTTTACACAGCAGTATTGTTTGCTGTGCGTTGTAGCAACATTTTGTAAAGTACCTATGTAAAGGTTGAGATGTGGTGGTGCTGCGGACTAAACCGCAGAAGCCTGTGCTGCAGGGTCAGAAGACCAGCAATCGTAAGATCGAATCCAAGCGACGGAGTGAGCTCCCGTCGCTTTGTCCCAGCTCCTCGCCAACCTAGCAGTTCAAAAGCATGCAAATGCGAGTAGATAAATAGGTACCACCTTGGTGGGAAGGTAAAATGGCGTTCCCTAGTCATGCTGGCCACGTGACAATGGAAACTGTCTTCAGACAAGCGCTGGCTCTACGGCTCGAAAACTGGGATGAGCACCGCCCCCTAGAGTCGGACCTGACTGGACTAAAAATGTCAAGGGGAACCTTTACCTTTATGTAAAGGTTAAAGTAGATCCATGTATTGCTGAAGACTCAGTGATATAGGCCATGGAGATGTAATTGGCTGCAGCTATCAGACACTTATCCATGATGTGTTTAAGGACACATGATTGTCCTCTACACATTTTACATAGGTGTGAGACATCACATTTAGTAGTAGATAGAATGTTGGGCTGCAACTTCAGAAATCTAAGTCAAATTCGGTTAAAGGAGATCCATGTACTGCTGAAGACTCAGTGATATAGGCCATGGAGATGTAATTGGCTGCAGCTATCAGACACTTATCCATGATGTGTTTAAGGACACATGATTGTCCTCTACACATTTTACATAGGTGTGAGACATCACATTTAGTAGTAGATAGAATGTTGGGCTGCAACTTCAGAAATCTAAGTCAAATTCCTACTGATCCATGACATTTGGAAATATCTCTGAGATTTTAGTAGCAAAACCAGAGATCAGAGGCAGATCTTTGTCAAATCACAGGCCCTTGTGATGTCACAGAGGTGGGCAGGAAAGGTTTTGCACTGCTGCCTGTGCCATCAGGCTCATAAGTTAATGTGCCGCTGCTCCACTCCCTGCTTTGCTCCAGACAGCACATGGGTCCCACAATATCATCTGGAGCACTGTGTCATTGTGTATTTGCAGCAACACACATGCACATTTTCATACAAACCTGTGAATGCTGCCACCTGCTGGGAATCTGTAGTGATGGGTGTGCAGACTTTAGGCTTTCTCTTCTTTCAAATTTGCTCACCATGAGATTTGTCTCTCTGTGGGAAGGCC